CATCGCGGCGAACCCCAGTCCCACGATCCGGCTGCCGGTTGTGGTGTAGACCAACTGGTAAATCTTCCCCGGCTCGAACCCGGAGGGCATGTAGATGTGGTTGTGCTGCGGCTCCAAATCCTCATCTTCGACCCGGACGAAGGACCACTGGCTCCGGTCAACAGGTGTGGCAGGACTGTTGGGCAGGTCCCGCACCGTAAGGGTGGCCTCCGCCTCTTCAGGGTCGGCGGCAGGATTGGGCAGGTGCTGCCGGTCTGCCAGCAGGAACACCTGGGTGGGTTCGTTGCACTGGAACTGGCAGAGAATCTTGCCGGTCAGAGGCCCCTGCGGGCCGATGGCTTCCGGCCCATGCAGTCCGATGAGTCCGGGAGTGGTCGGGACGTCGGCCTGCCAGCCGCCCCAGACCACCGTGTAGCCTCGACGCATCAGGTAGCCGTTGCCGGCCTCCAGAGGCGTGGTGGGGTCTGTAGCGGCGGGGACGCTGTTCAGACTCAGGGCGGTTTTCCGCCCCCGGTTCACCACGTCGAACAGGATGCGGCGGTTGCCCCGGTCGATGTTCACCGGCTGGAGCATGGCGAAGTCTGCCGAAAACTCCACCTTGCCGGCGGGATTGCGCGGCGCCAGGTCCAGGTCCGTAATCCCCTGATTCCGGTCATGCGACGGGTCCATCGCGTAGTGGGCCGTGCCTTCCAGAAGCTCATACGCTCCCACGTCGCCGAAGCTCTCGCCGGACGCGAAACTGGTACGTTTAGTGATTTCCAATTCTGTGATTGCCAAGACGCCTCCAGTTGGCCGACGGCCCATATTCAGTGACTGATATTCAGTTTCGGTTGCCAGTGTCAGAGGGGATTTTAGCACTTGTGGACGCGCCGCAGTGGCGGCTTTCGTCCACTCAGTAGGGAGGAAAGTGCCAAACTCCGGCTTGCTGAACAGGCGAGACGTATTTGGACCAGATTCCGGGGCACGTCGCGACTTCGACCTTACCCAACGAGCCGGTCCGAACCCAAATGTCACTAAAGGCCCAGCCATGCTCACCCTGCCCTACGCAATTGTACCCGTATTCGTTCCCTTCGCAACGCTGTTCAGCAGCTCGACTTGGCGGAAAGCACAAGTGTTGCTGATAGGCGGGATCCTGACCCCGGGCCAGCGCACCGTGGTGGCGGCGCTTCGGGTCACAGGCCGCAGCGACCATCCGGACTACGCCCGCCACCATGAGGTGCTCAATCGGGCGGTATGGTCGCCCCGAGCCCCGCTGAAACCGGCGTTCGGGACGCACCGGCCTGTACCATGGGTTCGCGGTTGTTTGGTGCATTGACACCAAGGCGCGGGAACGATAAAGAAGTTAGGAAACTCTGCGCGATGCGGTAGGAGCGGGATATGGCTGGAGAATTAGATCCCAGGGCGGCCGGGGCGCGACGGTTCGATGGTCAGGTGGCGGTGATCACCGGCGGCGGCCAGGGCATTGGCTCCGCCACCGCCCGACGCTTGGCCCAGGAGGGCGCATCCATCGTCATCGGCGACATGGTGGCTGAGACATCGGACCGAGTCTGCGCGGCGATCCGGGAGTTTGGCGGAGAGTGTGTAATATCCCTGGGTGATTTATCCCGGTGGGAAAACGCCGAGGCTTTGATGCGCCGGGCAATGGAAACTTACGGCAGGATCGACGTGCTGGCCAATATCGCCGGCGGCACCATCTGGTTCCAGTCCTTCCAGTACTACACACCGGAACAGATCCAAGCGGAGATGGACCGCAGCTTTTGGACCGCCATGTGGTGCTGTCGAGCCACCCTGCCCCACATGATTCAGCAGGGCTCCGGCTCAATCGTCAACATCGCCACCCACGCCGTTACCGGTAGATTCCGCGTGCCCTACGCTGCGGCAAAGGCGGGACAGATCGGCATGACCACTTCCCTGGCGCGGGAGGTGGCCCACTTGGGAATCCGGGTCAACTGCATCGCGCCCAGCGGCACCGCCGCCGACGACCCGGGTAACGCCCCGCGACCACGGTGTGGAAGTGGCCGTGCCGGAGCTACCGGAGTCGGAGCGGGTCGACCAGCAGCAGTACCGGGCTTCAACCCGCAGCTCGGAAATACCCATGGGCCGGCGCGGGGAAGCTGACGAACAGGCGGCGGCCATCGCCTTCCTGGCCTCCCACGACGCCTCGTACATCACCGGCCAGGTGCTGGCGGTTGGCGGGGGGCAACCCTACCCGTTCTAGCCCCTTGGCATTGACCCGCCTGATAACATGACACAAATCCGCCAAGTTGGACCGAAAAGGACCGACGAATATGGGACTAAAACGCCTGTTGCTGAAACCGCTTTCGGGGTATCCGGGTGGCTACAAGAGCATGCGCAGGGGAACCCAAGGCTTCGATTCCACGCCGCCGTTCAAGGTCCCCGATAACCCGTGGGATCGCCGCAGCCGTATCCCGTCCACGGGGTTTCGGGAATACTGGTATCCTGCCCTGCCGGCCAAGGACGTCAAGACCGACAGACCCGAGGTGCTGCGGATGTTGGGTACCGACGTGGTCTTCTTTAACGACAAACATGGCGAGGTGCAGGCCTTGCTGGACTGGTGCCCGCACCGGGCGGTCTACCTGTCCATGGGCCGCTGCTACTTCGAGGGCTTCCTGACCTGCCCGTACCATGGGGCGACGTTCGATGGCGACGGCAACTGCGTGGCGTTCCTCACCGAAGGCCCCGACTCCATGATGGTGGGAGCCGAGGGCATGAAGGCCCGCAAGTTCCCCACTGTTACCCTAAAGGGCATGGTGTTCGTCTGGATGGGTGAGGGTGAGCCCGTCGCTCCCAAGGAAGACATCCCGCCCGAGATGTTCGAGGAGCACAACATCTGCCGGCCTTCCTTCGGTATGTTCGACTGCAACTGGTGCTGGTACTGGAAAACACCATGGACGCTCACAACGCCTTCATGGTGCACCGCAACGCCTTGCGTATGCTGGGCAGCCGCGTCGGTGGGCGGCCGCGCACTCCGCTGGGTTACCGGGTCAACCTGGTGAATGACAAGAACGTCCATTACCGCCCGGGCGGCGGAAAGTCCTCCACCGAAAAGTACTATTATGACGAGGAAGGGAACATCCCATATCAGATGTACTACCCCGGTGTCGACGGCGTGTGGCCGCTGCACCGGTGGCGCCTGCTCTGGACGTGGTTCTTCGACTGGAAGGCCCATCGTCATGGACAGGACCCTCAGTACCGGCGCGCCACACTGGCCGACACCCCCGACGTGAACGAATGGAACGGAACCCGCCTGCCCGGCATGTCCCGTACCGGCGGCAACAACCGTTACTTCCGCAGCACCCGTTGGCCCGTGCCTGTGGAGGAAAACCTGACTCGCATGGTGTACCTCAACGTGGAGCGATACGAACAGCGACCTGGCCTCATTCGCCGCATGGCCCGGGGAGCCACTTGGCCCTATCGCAACTGGGAGCTCAATTTCAACTTCCGCAACCAGGACTACGACGCCGAAAAGTATACCCAGTACTCCATGCCCGAGTACCTGTCGTCCACCGACTCAGTGGTGGTGGCCATGCGTCGGCTGTTCGTGGAGCATAACCGGGACGTGCAGCGTCGCCGGCAGCGGGAAGAGGAGCTGCCCGAAGTGATGGGCGAATCCGAGGCCGAGCAGATGGTGCGTGAGGGCGACCTCAAGGTTGCCGAAACCAGCGGCACCTTCGACGCCGGCCGCTTGCAGGAAGAGGTGCTCCGACGGGTTTAGCCGAAACAACTGCTGACTAGGCTATAGACATACAGCTCGATCCCGACCCTCTCCAGTCAGCCAAACTGGACTGCTGGTAGAACTTTCGAATTCGCGTTTGAACCTTAGCAGTTTCTAACCGCCGAGATTTGCGCCGCCCTGCGAACCAATCGACCAGCTGTGTACGTCGGACTCTTCGGTGCCGGCGACGTCAGGTTAGGAAACCTGATCCAGTAGTCGACAAGCACCCCCTTGGACCGTTGGATGCCAATCTGACAGACCTGAAGATTTCCGGTGGGCGAGTTCGGCAGTTTGGCTGTTATTAAGACTCTCCCGCGTTTAGTAGGATGTTGAAAAACGGTGTGGTTTAGCGAGGTGGCGATACGATGCCAGGTACCAAGAGTGGGGAGTTTCCTCATGCGAGGCAAAGCAGCGCGACAGGCCACCATGCTGACAGCGATCACGCCGGGCGCCCTGGTTCCACCACGTCATCCCATCCGACGCATCAAGCCCCTGGTGTATCGGGCCCTGACCCAGCTTTCTCCCGCCTTGGACCGGATGTACGCCGACCATGGCCGGGCGTCGATACCACCGGAGCACCTGCTGAAAGCCTGCCTGCTGATGGCGTTGGTCTCGGTGTGCAGCGACCGGCAGTTCTGCGAAAGGCTGGGGTACGACCTGCTGTTCAACTGGTAGCGGCGATGAGGGCCGTTTGCAGCTTTGGGTGCATGGGTACCACCCGGGCCTTGTTGCTCTTGCCCCGACGGACACGAAGGGTGGGCCAACCCGAGTCCAGGAACAGGTCCCGGTTTTCCAAGGCCAACGCCTCGCTTACCCGCAGGCCGGCCCGCCATTGTTCCAGTATCAGCAACTTCGCCATCGGGTCTGGCCCAAGGCGATAACGGCTTCGATTTCAACCCGTTCCGGGTATTCCGGCGGGTTGAAAATTTTCTCCCGGGGTGATTGTTGCAATTCGGCCCTTTTGGGGTGGATTCCCTGGGCGCGGCGCGTGCTTACGGCGGTGGTTGTCATGGGTCAGCGTGAAACAAAATGGCCAATTTTGTTGCATCAGCCGACGGCGCTTCTGCCGGGCAGGTTCTCGTCGAGCCACGCGGCCGCATTTTCCGCCGATCCAAACGTCCGCAGCTTGCCGGGCGGCAGCTGGACCCACCTGCGCCCGGGCGGCTTCTCCTCGAACACAAACCACGGTGCTCGTAATTGGTGGTCAAGCAACCGGCCACTGGCCAGTCGGCCAATAGCTTGGCAAGATCCCCTGGCTTGGATGGATGCCGTGCGATTACCTTTCGGATCGCATCAGCCATTTGGCTTTGACCGATGAGATCCTCGATTTGTTTGAAACACCCCGGGAAATCAGGGAACTCCAAGCATCGCTGGAACTGCTTGTTGGAACTAATCCTTTGACAATCCGCTTCGGGAATTTCGAGCAAAGTTTGGGCTACTAGGAGCGAGTCCGAGTATGGCTAACAGTCTCCCCGGGC